TGGTGAGTGAGTGAGTGAGTGTCGGTGAGTGTGTGTCGGATGATGAGTAAGTGAGGTGTGTGTGTGTGTGTCTCTGTGTGTGTGTGTGTCTGTGTATGTGTGTGTGTGTGTGCAAGTGTGAGTGTGGTGAGTGAGTGAGTGAGTGAGGAGGAGGATGATGATGAGGAGGAAGAGGAGCCGGAAGGAAGGAGGAGGAGAAGGAGGAAGGAGGAAGGAAGGAAGAAGGAGGAGGCGCGTACGCCAAGCAGTAAAAAGTAAGAACCCGCCACAAAGATGTGGGGAAGAATAAGAATACCCTGGGCCGCACGACCCTACATCTCGCCTGGCTGTGCCGAGCTGTGAGTGCCGAAAACGACCCAGGCCCAAACTTAATGCGCACTGCGGACGACAGCTTTTTCGTCCGCACGCTGCATTCAGATCTTTCCGAGGTTCCTGCAGCAGGCACATCAGTTTCTCGGCCGGTCCATAGAGTCTCCACAGGGGCCTGGTGAGGCCTTTTAGGCAGGGCCGCGGAGAAGCCAGGCTCCGAAGGTGCATCTGAAAGTAGGGTTGCTACAAGGGCTTAAATGGGCGGCATCTATGACAGGTTCAGTAGATTGTGTAAACCTTCTGGTCCAGGACCGTAAGTCCCAAATCGGATCAACCGCAGGTTGGGAATTCATGCCTAATTGAGATGTTGGAGCATGTCCGCAACAAATGGACGTAATTCGTCAATCTTACCGAGAGCTAAGAAACTCCGGCAGTTGCTGAAGCTGTCCATGGGGCCTTCGTGGTTACTACTCTGCTCCTCGTGTCCGGTTTCGCGCTACAGGGGCGCTCCCTCGAGTTGTGGGGAGTTTTGAGCATTGGCTCGTGAGTGTCTGCCTCAACTCACCTCGCCAAAAGCCAATTCACTGGATTCAATGCATTTGGTGTCGAGATGTTTGCAAGGCAGGCGTTTCAGTGAGTTTGCCCGGGGTGCACGGACTGAGGGCCTTCTGACTCCCTTTTGTGCAAGGTCAAAAGTTGTTACATCTTCGCCATTCCAGAAGACACCGAAACCCCAGACTCAAAGCGCTACACTGCTGCACGAAGTCCGAACCAAACAGTTCCTATCCGGCCGAGGCTGACATGCTACCTCGCCCGGGCTGCGGAAGATGTGGGCACAGGCATACCGGCGCAACATAACATCGAATGTCCGAACAGATCACACATGACTGACGACTACTGTCCCAATCTCTACTGCCACCACCACGATTACTGCTTGTTCTTCTCCTTCTGCTGCTGTTTCCTCTTCAACTACTGCTGCCGCTGCTGCAACTGCTCCCAGCTACAAGCACATGAGCCACAGCATCAACCCCAGCAACACTGACGACATCAACAAAGACAGCAACAACAGCAACAGCAACAGCACCTGCTACTGCTACTGCCACTGCTACTGCTCTTGCTGCTCGTCACTCGATTACTGCCACTGCTGCTGCTTAGTACTACTGCTACTGTGCTGCAGCTACTCATGCTCTTACTCCTGCTGCTGCGGTTGCTGCTGCTACTGTTGATTGTACTCTAATCCTACTACTGCCACTGCTACCGCTGCCGCTTTCGCTATCGCTGCCGCTGCTGCTGCTACTGCTGCAGCCTGCGACGGCGCCTAAGACTGCGGCGACGACGGTGAGTGCTGCTACTGCCACCACTAGCACAAATTCTACCACAACCACTGCCGCTACTACGACTACCGCCCCCTCCCCCTCCTACCACTACCGCTACCACTACCACTACCACTGCCACTGCCACTACCCACTACTAGTACCAGTAATCGTACTTGTACTCGTAGTAATCCTAGTAGTCGTAGTCGTAGTCGTCGTGGTAGTCGTCGTCGTCGCCGGCGTCGTCGTCGTCGTCGTAGT